CAACAAATCAATCCTCCAGCTGCAGCTGATCCAGAAGCTGCTGCTCCTGTTCTCACTAAAACCAGGAAGATAGAGACACAGCAGTTTTAAAGTCCCTCCACTGGCTCCCTGTAGCTCAAAGAATAGACTTTAAAATACTGTTGTTAGTTTATAAATCACTGAACGGTTTAGCACCACAATACATCAAAGATCTGCTGTTGTTGTATCAACCTTCCAGACTCTCAGGTTCTGGTTCTGGTTCTGCATCCCCAGAACCAGAACCAGGAAAGCAGCTTTCAGCATCTATGCACCAAAATCTGGAACAAACTTCCAGAAAACTGTAAAACAGCAGAAACCCTGACTTCCTTTAAATCTCAACTAAACACACACCTGTTTAGAGTTTGATTTGAAATGTAATATGTAACAATGTATTGTTGATTCCATGATGCATGACTTTGTGTTCATGATGTAAAGCACTTTGAAATGCCTTGCTGCTGAAATGTGCTATACAAATAAAATTTGATTGATTTGATTGATCAGTTCGTCTGGAGAGGAGCTAACAACGAGCTATGCTGTCAGCACAATCACAGAGAAAGGAAAGCACAGGTGATATGGAGTGTGTGTGTGTGTTCAATGATTCCTCCTCTGGTTTCGATCCACCAGCTACATCCAGTCCTGTAGAATCTTTGAAACAGTACCAGGCTGGCAGCATGAAGTAGGCTGAGAGATCTCAAAGCTCTGATCCAGAGATCCAGCAGAGGAGAAAGCGACTGACTAGTCCAAGCCCGGAGTAACCAGTTAGTGCGTCAGGTTGATATAGATTCCCGTGTCTCTTCGTTGTGCTGCGGCATCTCATTTAACTTGTCCTGCGGACTTTCAGTAATGTGCAGTTGGTGCTGCAGCGTTTCGCTGATTCTGCTGATTGTACTGCAGCAAACACCTGTCAACTGATGTCAGCTGGGCTGCAGCACCTGAACCGTTTCTCTCTGAAATGTTGCTCAATATAGCAAGAAAGTTGGTAACCCTGTGTGACTATTGATAACTGTAAACGTTGAAATGAGCTGGTGGGTGAGGCAGTCAGACCTCTCTAACGGAGACAGAGGACAGCAGCTGACTTTTGACCTTTGCCCTGTTTCACATGTGAAAATGAAGGACATCGGTGCGCTGAAAGCTCTGCATGTATTTGCTGCTGTGGTTTCTCTCTCTTTCCGTTTGTCTCGTCGTCTTTATCTCCTCTTAGCTCCTTCTTTCCCTTTAACCCTTTCCTGTCACCTTCCTCCCTTTATTTTCCGTCTCCATGTCTTTTACTTCTTAACAAACCCAAAGTCATTTCTTATTCAGCGAAAGCTGTAACGCTCCACTAGTGAAAGTAAATCTGTTGGACCAGTTGTGGTCGGCGCTCAGAGCAGCGTTCCCTCAATGTTCAGCTTCCTGCTTCGTTTGTTTTCACCTGATTATTCCTGCAAATCTTAATAAGGAAGTTGATGTTTCCAATGAAAGTAGACAACAAGAGAGATTTATGCATCATGCTTCAAACACAAAACTATGATATGAAAGACAAAACGAAGACTGTACCTCCCGGGTTTTGGAGAAAACGTTCCGATAGACGGAGAACAGAGCAACAGGTGTTCTGGCGTGCAGGGTTGGAGATCTGTCAGTAAGTCCTTTTATACCCAACAAAGCTTCTTCTTCCTCTTCCTCCTCCTCCTCTCGTTTCTCTAGAAAGACCACAGATGTTACAGGAACAGCTTGGCCTCTTGCCAGCCGCCGACGGCTGTGAACATGTTCTGCACCTGTTGGAGAGACTCCAGCAGGTCAACTGGAGTTTCTGCTGTAGAAGGAGCTGCTGACGCCTGCAGGAACAGGAAACAACAGCCAGGGGGCGCCGTGCAACGCATCATAATAATCCGATAATCACCGTCAATGAGCTGCAGAGGTCGCAGCCACAGCATGGACAGAAACGGACCCGGCAGCACCAACCCTGAAGGTTTTATAAGAAGTGAAGCAGAAGAGGAGGAAGACGGCTCCTCCTCCTCTGCCAACTTGGATCAGGTTGGGCTTTGGATCAGAGTTCTTGCTGGAACAAGTCGTCTTCATATTTCTGCTGGGAGGGAAGCAGCGTGAGCCGACAGCATGCGCCTCTGATCAGAGCTCCATGAAGCACGACTGAACACTTTCAGTTTGAGTTCCTCTATTGGTTCATTGACACAAACTGAACAGAACGAGTCTGTAAAGGATTCGTTGGACCAACAGGCCCTGGTTGGGCTTTCAGTGCATGAAAGCAAAATTATTTATGAATCATAAATACATCCGTCTTCCCGCCTACATGTAAACAACATGGCTTCCTCCAGATTTATAGAAACATCATTGCTAACATGCTAATAGGATCAAACCTGACACTCGCATTGGTTTTTAGGAGCAAAAGCAAAATAACAGGTTAACTGCTCTCTCAGTGTGCACTGACCAGGAAGACTGTGAAGGCCTGCTCCTGTGAAGGCCTGCTCCTGTGAAGGCCTGCTCCTGTGAAGGCCTGCTCCTGTGAAGGTCTGCTCCTGTGAAGGCCTGTTGATGTGAAGGAGCAGTCCAATGGATCCCAGCAGCATCCTGAGGCGGCAAGGTGACGCATGGTGCTGCACTTCTCACAGGAATCTCTGGCTTCCTTCCTCCAGGCCAAACTCACTCTTGTCATCAGGTTTTATGACTTGGAATAAAAACAACCGGATTCACTGAACCAGAAGAACCAGGTCACACTGGGACATTTCATATGAGGGTGTCCTCCATAACATGTCCCAGAATTCACCTGGGTTTAGCCTGAAGGCAGCAGCAGGTTTACCCTTCACTGATTGGCCGAACCGTCCAGGTCAACTGATCATGTGCCGAAACCACAAGTTTACATACAGCCAAAACAATCTTATATTTGCTCAACCTGAAGCTATTTGGAACCAGAACCATCTGGAATTGGAACCGTCAGCTTCCTGACTGTGGTCGGACCTTCCTGTCATGCCTCTACTGGACCAGCCAGTGAGCCTCCAGGTGAGCCTCCAGGTGAGATACCTTTTCTGAAATAGACAGTACAGATTGCATCAAATTGTTTCTGTCCCACAAGGGGAAACGGTGTACCAGGCGGTACCATCATCCAGGTACCGGCTGGTACCTGGATGGTCGGGCTGCAGGGTTCTGTGGTGTCAGCAGTTTCTCTATGAACAGATGAAATCATCCAAATGACTGAAATTGCTTTGACTCTTGCTGGTTAGAAACCAGCTTGTGTCTTGATGTTTCTGGCAGCAGCTGCAGTGATGCAGGACTGAGTGGATTTTATAACCCTAACGAACCAATTCCAGATGTTTGACCAATTCCAGATGTTCGTAAAGCCTTCAATTATCCCTGTAGTCTGTTGATTGTAGGAAGCTGGTAGCTACATGCTAACCTTAGCTGCAAACCGTTAACCTGGCCCAGTTCGCCGGGGCCGTCTCAGTGCTTATGCACCACATGGAGGTTTCTATCAGTCTTTGTTACGATTCAGCAGTTCAGTTCAGCTACAGATCAGACTTTAAGCTCAGCTTTTCATGGTAACTTTATGAGAAATGATTCAAGTCATTTGAAGGCATTTTGTCATGTTTCAGGCAAACACAAGCAACCCTGAAATCCAGCAATGCAGACAGTGCCCCCTGCTGGACGTCATCAGCATGACGCTCATCTCGGCTTAAACATGTTTATGGACCTGCAGTGATTTCTCTGATTTTAATGTTTTGTTTTAACCCAGGAGCTCAAGAGGGTTTCACACTTTGAGGAGAGGCGGAGGGTCATGGGTTTGATTCCCTGAGCCTGAAGGAACCAGGAGTTCCCCTCAGATCCGTATCGGTGCATGGAGGTTCTGCCAGTTCTGGTTCTGAACTCAGTCCATTTCCCTTTGAACCCGTATAAAGAGGAAGACGAGCAGAATCATACAGCACAGGCTGACCTTTGACCCAAGTCCACATGCATTAGCTCTGTTAGAACCGAGCCTGAGGCTTCCTGAGGGATCAGCGTGTCGGTGGGTGGAGGCTCCAGTCCTGAGTTTCCTGCCATTGTTCCAGGAACTTCCTGCTTTGACTGAGAACGTTCTGGGGTCATAACAGGCGGAGGCTGGGAACCGAGCATCCAACCATCATCCAACCACCATCCAACCATCATCCAACCATCATCCAACCACCATCCAACCACCATCCAACCACCATCCAACCACCATCCAACCATCATCCAACCACCATCCAACCACCATCCAACCACCATCCTACCATCATCCAACCACCATCCAACCACCATCCAACCATCATCCAACCATCATCCAACCACCATCCAACCACCATCCAACCATCATCCAACCACCATCCAACCATCATCCAACCACCATCCAACCATCATCCAACCATCATCCAACCATCATCCAACCACCATCCAACCATCATCCAACCACCATCCAACCATCATCCAACCACCATCCAACCATCATCCAACCACCATCCAACCACCATCCAACCATCATCCAACCATCATCCAACCATCATCCAACCACCATCCAACCATCATCCAACCATCATCCAACCATCATCCAACCATCATCCAACCACTATCACACCATTTAACCATCATTTTATAATGTACAATGAAGCCAACAACAATCCAGGACCAGATCCAGGACCAGTTCCAGGACCAGGATCATTGTTGGCTTCACTGTACATTATAAAAAGCTGCTCAGCTGATTTCTTGCAACAAAACAATGACAAAGGTCAAAGGTGAATTCCCGGTAGCAGTGTTCCTGCAGCTCTGACCTCTGCATTGTGAGGCGCCACAATAACAGCGGTCTGTTTCCCTCCTCTGGAGTCGGCTGCAGCCGGAGACATCTGGAGGACCAGTCATAACAGAACCCTGCCTCTCATTGTTTCTGCTGCTGAACGGAACCGGCCCAGTTTCTGCTGCTGGACAACACTTCCGTCTTCAGTTTGGCTCCCAAACAGGATGCCGGAGCACCAACATCTCAGCAGATTCACATCAGTTCTCCTTCAGCCATGACTGGACCGCTGCAGACCGGCCTCCATTCTCCCTGAAACTCTCTGCACAGCAGCCATGTTGTTGATCTTCCTCCTGCTGCTCATCAGCAGCTTGGGAGGATCATCAGCAGCCAAACAGGAGATGCTGTGCACCCCTAAAGCCTGCTTTGTCCTGAACATGGAGCCCGTTGGCTTTCAAAAGGCCCAGAACCGCTGCGAGGATGACGGCGGGTACCTGATGACTCTCAGAGACAGAAAGGAGGAGGAAGATCTGCGCTCACTTCTCTTGCTGGTTGAAAAACAACGACCTGACCCGACTTTAAAGGTCTGGATCGGATTGAAGCTGAAAAAACAGGACTGCGTTCTCCCTGGCAGGCCTCTCCGAGGGTTCAAATGGGTCTCTGGGGACGAAGAGTCCCTATATTCCAACTGGGAACAAGAGCCTCCCTTCACATGCACCTTGGAGAGATGTGTGAGGGTGGTTTACACCTTCTCAGACCAGGAACCGCTGAAATGGACCCAAGGAGTTTGTAGTAAAAAAGCTTCTTATGCTTGTAAGTTTTACTTCCAGGGGATGTGCTCCCCTCTGGTTCTGCAGGGGCCTGGAAAGATCGTCTATGAGTCGATTTTTGTAAAGGAGCCTCTAAAAACTGAGCTAAAGCTGCTTCCGTACGGGACGAGGGCCAGAATCTTTTGCGGTGGCCACGAGACGACTTCGTCTCAGTGCAGAAACCTGGACGGTGCCTACGCCTGGAGCCCTCCCGGGCCGTTCTGCAAGCAGGAAACCCAGAACTGTCAGAAGAACAACGGAGGCTGTGCACAGAAGTGCCGGCAGGACGGAGGAACTGTTCGGTGCTCCTGCAGAGAAGGTTGGGAGCTGGAAAAGGACGGGTTCTCCTGCAGGATGACGGACCTGTGCCGACCCGATACCTGCGAGCACAGCTGTGTGATGAGCGAGGACGGCGTTTCCTGCAGATGTCCCAGTGGCTTCAAACTGAGTGAAAACCAGCGGAACTGCTCCGACGTGGACGAGTGTCTCTCTCAGGCCTGCGACTACGGCAGCTGCGTCAACACGGTCGGCAGCTACAGGTGCGTGTGCGGGGACGGCTTCCGCCTGACGGACGGCGAATGCAGGCATGTGAACGAGTGTGGAGGCCTGGTGTGTGAGCACGGCTGTGTGAACTCTGGGGGAACCTTCTCCTGCCTCTGCCAGGACGGTTTCCGTGAGTCCGGAGACGGACCGTTCGGAGACGGACCGTCCTGCGTGGACGTGGACGAATGCGCCGGTGACCCTTGCCCCCGTCTCCTCACATGCATCAATACAATCGGCAGCTTCAGCTGCTTGAAGCCGGAGACTCAGGAGTCCACGACCTTTGTGTCGACCCGGCAGCCCGTCTCCTCAGCCGCCCCAGCAGAGGACAGGAGGACACACAGGACCGCCGTGGAGCTGCAGCGCCAGTCCCCCCACACCGACGCCCCGCTGCCTGAGCTGGTCAACGTCACAGACCAGCTGAGGAACCAGTCCCCGGTGTCCGCTGAGGACGCCTCGGCCGGGAACAGGGTGCTGATCTGCGTCCTGGGCTCGGTCGTCCCGCTGCTCGCCCTCGTCGCTCTGACTCTCTTCATCGCCATCTTCCGCTGCAGTCGCTCCAAAACGGAGGTGAAGAAGAAGAAAACCACGGCGGACGGCTACTGCTGGGTTTCCTCGGGTCTGGATCCACGGCTGGAGAAGCTGTATGAATCCATCCTGACTGATGACCCCTGACCCCAGAGGGAGAGCAGGCACTGCATTTCATGTTAATTTATAAAGATCTGTATGGATATCATCAACATATTTTCATCCAGATTCATTTCTAATTGCTTTCTAAGTAAAGTTTCATCCAGATGTAGAAATATTCCAGTAGAAATGCAGCAGGTTGTTTAGATTTTATACATTTAAATAAAATAACATCATCCACCGTGTCGCCATGTTGTTTATGTCACAATGCATCCTGGGTAGTTGACGTGTGGTTGGTGCTAAGAACAGATTAATGGCTGCCCTGCTCAGCCTCCACCACCCTGTGTGTGTGTGTGTGTGTGTGTAGATGTGTGTGTAGATGTGGATGTGTGTGTGTGTGTAGATGTGTGTGTAGATGTGTGTGTAGATGTGGATGTGTGTGTCGATGTGTGTGTGTGTAGATGTGAATGTGTGTGTGTGTGTGTAGATGTGTGTGTAGATGTAGATGTGTGTGTAGATGTGTGTGTAGATGTGTGTGTAGATGTGGATGTAGATGTGTGTGTAGATGTGTGTGTAGATGTGTGTGTAGATGTGTGTGTAGATGTGAATGTGTGTGTGTGTGTGTAGATGTGTGTGTAGATGTGTGTGTAGATGTAGATGTGTGTGTAGATGTGTGTGTAGATGTGGATGTGTGTGTAGATGTGTGTGTAGATGTGGATGTGTGTGTGTGTAGATGTGTGTGTAGATGTGAATGTGTGTGTAGATGTGTGTGTAGATGTGTGTGTAGATGTGTGTGTAGATGTGTGTGTGGATGTGTGTGTAGATGTGTGTGTAGATGTGTGTGTAGATGTGTGTGTGGATGTGTGTGTAGATGTGTGTGTAGATGTGGATGTGTGTGTGTAGATGTGTGTGTGTGTGTAGATGTGTGTGTAGATGTGTGTAGATGTGTGTGTGGATGTGTGTGTGTGTAGATGTGTGTGTAGATGTGGATGTGTGTGTGTGTAGATGTGTGTGTGTGTGTAGATGTGTGTGTAGATGTGGATGTGTGTGTAGATGTGTGTGTGTGTGGATGTGTGTGTGTGTAGATGTGTGTGTGTGTAGATGTGTGTGTTTGTGTGTGTAGATGTGTGTGTGGATGTGGATGTAGATGTGTGTGTGTGTGGATGTGTGTAAGTGTAGATGTGTGTGTAGATGTGTGTGTGGATGTGTGTGTAGATGTGAATGTGTGTGTGTGTGTGTGGATGTGTGTGTGGATGTGTGTGTGTGTAGATGTGTGTGTGTGTAGATGTGTGTGTGGATGTGGATGTAGATGTGTGTGTGTGTGGATGTGTGTAAGTGTAGATGTGTGTGTAGATGTGTGTGTGGATGTGTGTGTAGATGTGAATGTGTGTGTGTGTGTGTAGATGTGTGTGTGTGTGTGTGGATGTGTGTGTGGATGTGAGTGTGGATGTGGATGTGTGTGTAGATGTGTGTGTAGATGTGTGTGTAGATGTGTGTGTAGATGTGTGTGTAGATGTGTTTGTGTGTGTGTGTGTAGATGTGTGTGTGGATGTGTGTGTAGATGTGTGTGTGTGTAGATGTGTGTGTAGATGTGGATGTGTGTGTAGATGTGTGTGCGTGTGTAGATGTGTGTGTAGATGTGTGTGTAGATGTGAATGTGTGTGTAGATGTGTGTGTAGATGTGTGTGTGGATGTGGATCTGTGTGTGTGTAGATGTGTGTGTGTGTGTAGATGTGTGTGTAGATGTGTGTGTAGATGTGAATGTGTGTGTAGATGTGTGTGTGTGTGTGTGTGTGTGTGTGTGTGTGTGTGTGTGTGTGTGGATGTGTGTAAGTGTAGATGTGTGTGTAGATGTGTGTGTGGATGTGAATGTGTGTGTGTGTGGATGTGTGTGTGGATGTGTGTGTAGATGTGTGTGTGTAGATGTGTGTTTGTGTGTGTAGATGTGTGTGTGGATGTGGATCTGTGTGTGTGTAGATGTGTGTGTGTGTGTGTGTGTAGATGTGTGTGTATGTAGATGTGTGTGTAGATGTGTGTGTGTGTGTGTGTGTGTGTGTGTGTAGATGTGTGTGTAGATGTGTGTGTGTGTGTAGATGTGTGTGTATGTAGATGTGTGTGTAGATGTGTGTGTGGTGTAGATGTGTGTGTGGATGTGGATCTGTGTGTGTGTAGATGTGTGTGTAGATGTGTGTGTATGTAGATGTGTGTGTAGATGTGGATGTGTGTGTGTAGATGTGTGTGTGTGTGTAGATGTGTGTGTAGATGTGAATGTGTGTGTGGATGTGTGTGTAGTGTGTGTGTGTAGATGTGTGTGTAGATGTGTGTTTGTGTGTGTAGATGTGAATGTGTGTGTGTGTAGATGTGTGTGTGGATGTGGATCTGTGTGTGTGTAGATGTGTGTGTAGATGTGTGTGTGTGTGTGTAGATGTGTGTGTATGTAGATGTGTGTGTAGATGTGTGTGTGTGTGTGTAGATGTGTGTGTAGATGTGTGTGTATGTAGATGTGTGTGTAGATGTGTGTGTGGATGTGGATCTGTGTGTGTGTAGATGTGTGTGTAGATGTGTGTGTATGCAGATGTGTGTGTAGATGTGTGTAGATGTGAATGTGTGTGTGTGTAGATGTGTGTGTGTGTGTAGATGTGTGTGTAGATGTGAATGTGTGTGTAGATGTGTGTGTGTAGATGTGTGTGTAGATGTGTGTTTGTGTGTGTAGATGTGTGTGTGTGTAGATGTGTGTGTAGATGTGGATGTGTGTGTGTGTAGATGTGTGTGTGTGTGTAGATGTGTGTGTGTGTAGATGTGTGTGTAGATGTGGATGTGTGTGTGTAGATGTGTGTGTGTGTGTAGATGTGTGTGTAGATGTGTGTGCGTGTGTAGATGTGTGTGTAGATGTGTGTTTGTGTGTGTAGATGTGAATGTGTGTGTGTGTAGATGTGTGTGTGTGTGATGTGTGTGTAGATGTGTGTGTAGATGTGTGTGTAGATGTGTGTGTAGATGTGGATGTGTGTGTAGTGTGTGTGTGTGTAGATGTGTGTGTATGTAGATGTGTGTGTAGATGTGGATGTGTGTGTAGATGTGTGTGTGTGTGTAGATGTGTGTGTAGATGTGAATGTGTGTGTGTGTAGATGTGTGTGTGTGTGTAGATGTGTGTGTAGATGTGTGTGTGTGTCTGTAGATGTGTGTGTAGATATGTGTGTGTGTGTGTGTGTGGATGTGTGTGTGTGTAGATGTGTGTGTAGATGTGTGTGTGTGTGTGTAGATGTGTGTAGAGATGTGAATGTGTGTGTGTGTAGATGTGTGTGTGTGTGTGTAGATGTGTGTAGAGATGTGAATGTGTGTGTGTGTAGATGTGTGTGTAGATGTGTGTGTGGATGTGTGTAGATGTGAATGTGTGTGTGTGTGTATGTGTGTGTGGATGTGTGTGTGTGTAGATGTGTGTGTGTGTAGATGTGTGTGTGGATGTGGATGTGTGTGTAGATGTGTGTGTAGATGTGTTTGTGTGTGTGTGTGTAGATGTGTGTGTGGATGTGTGTGTAGATGTGTGTGTGTGTAGATGTGTGTGTTTGTGTGTGTAGATGTGTGTGTGGATGTGGATGTGTGTAGATGTGTGTAGATGTGTGTGTAGATGTGTGTGTGTGTAGATGTGTGTGTAGATGTGGATGTGTGTGTGTGTAGATGTGTGTGTGTGTAGATGTGTGTGTAGATGTGTGTGTGTGTAGATGTGTGTGTAGATGTGTGTGTAGATGTGGATGTGTGTGTAGATGTGTGTGTAGATGTGTGTGTGTGGGTGTGTGTGTGTGTGTGTGTGTGGATGTGTGTGTCTGTAGATGTGTGTGTAGATGTGTGTGTGTGTAGATGTGTGTGTAGATGTGGATGTGTGTGTAGATGTGTGTGTAGATGTGTGTGTGTGGGTGTGTGTGTGTGTGTGTGTGTGGATGTGTGTGTGTAGATGTGTGTGTAGGTGTGTGTGTAGATGTGTGTGTAGATGTGTGTGTGTGTGTGTAGATGTGTGTAGAGATGTGAATGTGTGTGTGTGTGTAGATGTGTGTGTGTGTGTAGATGTGTGTAGAGATGTGAATGTGTGTGTGTGTAGATGTGTGTGTAGATGTGTGTGTAGATGTGTGTGTGGATGTGTGTGTGTGTAGATGTGTGTGTAGATGTGGATGTGTGTGTGTGTAGATGTGTGTGTGTGTGTAGATGTGTGTGTAGATGTGGATGTGTGTGTAGATGTGTGTGTGTGTGGATGTGTGTGTGTGTAGATGTGTGTGTGTGTAGATGTGTGTGTTTGTGTGTGTAGATGTGTGTGTGGATGTGGATGTAGATGTGTGTGTGTGTGGATGTGTGTAAGTGTAGATGTGTGTGTAGATGTGTGTGTGGATGTGTGTGTAGATGTGAATGTGTGTGTGTGTGTGTGTGGATGTGTGTGTGGATGTGTGTGTGTGTAGATGTGTGTGTGTGTAGAGTGTGTGTGGATGTGGATGTAGATGTGTGTGTGTGTGGATGTGTGTAAGTGTAGAGTGTGTGTAGAGTGTGTGTGGATGTGTGTGTAGATGTGAATGTGTGTGTGTGTGTAGATGTGTGTGTTTGTGTGTGTAGATGTGTGTGTGGATGTGTGTGTAGATGTGTGTGTGTGTGGATGTGTGTAAGTGTAGATGTGTGTGTAGATGTGTGTGTTTGTGTGTGTAGATGTGTGTGCAGATGTGTGTGTAGATGTGTGTGTAGATGTGTTTGTGTGTGTGTGTAGATGTGTGTGGATGTGTGTGTAGATGTGTGTGTGTGTAGATGTGTGTGTAGATGTGGATGTGTGTGTAGATGTGTGTGCGTGTGTAGATGTGTGTGTAGATGTGTGTGTAGATGTGAATGTGTGTGTAGATGTGTGTGTAGATGTGTGTGTGGATGTGGATCTGTGTGTGTGTAGATGTGTGTGTAGATGTGGATGTGTGTGTGTGTAGATGTGTGTGTGTGTTGTGTGTGTAGATGTGTGTGTAGATGTGAATGTGTGTGTAGATGTGTGTGTGTGTGTGTGTGTGTGTGTGTGTGTGTGGATGTGTGTAAGTGTAGATGTGTGTGTAGATGTGTGTGTGGATGTGAATGTGTGTGTGTGTGGATGTGTGTGTGGATGTGTGTGTAGATGTGTGTGTGTAGATGTGTGTTTGTGTGTGTAGATGTGTGTGTGGATGTGGATCTGTGTGTGTGTAGATGTGTGTGTGTGTGTGTGTGTAGATGTGTGTGTATGTAGATGTGT